CGTTTTTTTATGCCTAGGCTTCGTCTAGACTCGCTTGGCCAGTTTTAAGAATTGGGGTTCCATTTTAAAACGTCAATCTTATTAAGAGGAGTAGCCCAAGATCTTTATTAATTGATCCGTGCCAACATTATTTATCGATGTGAGATATATATCCCTCGACACGTCCCCGCAAGATGGTGGAGCATTTGAGCAGACCAATCTTGAAATTCACGTGTTTATTTTAGAGTCTTAACAGGATCGAATCGCTCATTGGAGCATAATGGGCTTTGATACCATGTTAAGATTTGGGGTTCTATTTTAAAAGGTCAACCTTGTTAAGAGGAGTAGCTTAAAATCTTTATTAATTGGTCTATGTCAACACCTTTATTCGATGTGGGATTATATACCTTAATAGTCGGTGCCGACAGTAACTCCTCGCCGCCACTGTTACCGGATGTTTCCGGTCATACTNCATTTATCGATGTAGGATATATATTCCTTAACAGCCTGAAACCTCCACGTCTCGCTACGCATTATGCATTTTAGATCACTGTGTACACGGAATTGACTTTCTTATTTTTTTTAATGTTTTGAATTTGATGACTTTTATTCTAAATTTCTTTATTTTCTCATTTATTTATTTTTGTAGCAAATAACATGCAATAAAAATTTTTACCAACTCAACTATTTATAATAAATTGGATTGAATTGACATATATCCATATTTGATCCATTTAATTAATGGATTTGGATCTTGATCGGGTTATTGGACTAGGACCCTAAATTCATTTCCCATTAATTTCATCGGATTCGGAATAAAATCCAATCCATTGACAGCTCTACCTACTAGTACTAAGCACTTATTGAGAATTGATTTGTATCAATTTGTAATTTATACCCTTTATCAACAACTCCGTAACATGTTTTAAGTGACACACCTGTCACTATATGAGCATGGACTCCCCCTCCACTCATTTTGAATTGATTTTGAGATGGATGTACGAGCATGATATTAGAAGCTGTGCATGGCTGGTATCGGATAAGTCATGGTTGATGTTGTCCTCTTGGGTGCATGCAGTGTTAGAGTCTGTCTTAAAATTCCTCCTGCATAAATCAGCATCATGTTTGAAATTGACTTTCTAGTTAAATAATAAAAGAAATAAATGTGTGGATTCCAACTTCATTTTCATGTAGCTATTACAGTTTGTATAATTGATTCTCAAGAAAAGTTAGCTAATTTGAAGGCTCTTTTAGTCAGCAAAGGGCTTCGTTATTATTCTCTTTGAGATATGTCCGTAAGTAGGAACTTCTATAATTTGTTCACAACTTTTTTACGTGTAGGATGGTAACGA